AGTAAATGGAGTTTTGTGATGAGGAGGGGGTGGTCAACTGTGTCAAAGGCAGAGGAGAGGTTCAAGAGTAAGAGTATGGAATAGTGACCATTGGTTTTAGTGGTTAGCAAGTCGTTTGTGAGTTTTAAGAGAGGAGGAGTAGGGATAGGGAGTTTATGGTACACAGTGTTCACTCACTAGTATTCACACTAGCAGTGTACATTTAGGCCATTAAAGCGGGTTCTAAAGTCAAAAGGCTTTTTACCCTAATATATTGTCTGTATTAAGGTTAAAAAAAAAAACACCCCACTACTTTTCCTATCTACCTCCATCCCTAAACTCTTACCTGACTCCTGCAACCAATCCAGCACTGTCTCGACTCCAGTACCACTACCCTCTCTTCCTGCTTTCATAGGAGACACTGAGGGCAGCGGGAGCCATAGGTTCCTGTTGCTGTCATCCAAACTCCTGTGAGGAGGGAGCAGGCAGCATGGCTTACCTGCGCTGTGTGTGTCTATGAATGCACACAGTCTGCATAAGGAGTTTGCACGCATGGGTATATCCCTAGCACCAAGCTTGCTAAAGAGGCACCCGGAGGACCGAGAAGCACACAGCTTTAACCCTTCAGCTCCAAGTTTCCAGAGTATTTGAATTATTAACACGTCTGTGACCAGTATCCATTTCCTCTCTGTAACTAGTCTACCAAATATTTAGGTTAACAGATCAGTGTGTGACAGTCTACATATGTTTTAACCATTGGATGATGTATTAACCCTTTGTTTTAGGAAAATTGTGTTGTACTAAGCAGAACTTTAGCTTCGGTTTTCTTTCACTTTTTCTCATTCAATGAATGAGCATACATTTTCTATACCTATATATAGCATTTTTATATATATATATATATATATATATATATATATATATATATATATAAAACTTCCTATATAAACTAAGACTAACATTACTTATTTTATGTGACAGACTGCAAATGTGTCTATATGGTAATATAATGCAATATGATGTAACAGTGCATAATAAATGTGGTACATTACACTTTACAATGTATACAGGTTATCAATGCAAACATTTACAGTACGTGTCTATATAAAATAATTATACTATCATATTATGAAATACTGTACATACTGTGCAGTGTACAGCATGCAGCTCATCATTGTAAGCATGCACTCTATCTACATACCTTTATAAAAATCCTGCAGATATGATGGTAACATGATGACCTCATCTTTTTAAAATTCAAAATCCACCACCTGACTGCCACATCCCCCAATCTGTTAACCTCCCCACTACCCTATCTGCAAACTGGTGGACATATCCTGCCCCATGTCCCCACTTGCCCACCAGCCATGCACACTTAACACAAATTCTTCACCAACTAATACAATATTTAAATAATTCTAATACATGTACATTGAGTACACTAGACTACAAACTCTTTTATTTATAATACCTATACACTCACTTTATTTTGTAGACATATTTACCTTTTCTACACTAGCAAACGGTACACATTTGCAACATGTCCTCCACTGGTGTTTTTCAACTTACTCTACAACACCAACAGACTCATTTTCATTTGTTAAATATATTAGTTGGACAATGCATGTCCGGTGAGGTCCTTAATTTCATGTAACAGTATCAGTGGGATACAGGGGCGGACTGACAACTCATGGGTCCCCCGGGCAATAGGGGATCATGGGGCCCCTGTGTCCTTGCCCAAACTCAAAAAAGCCTATGAAAAAGGTACCAGGGGCATCTCATGGGGCCCCCTACTGACCCCGGACCCTCGGGCAGTGCCCAAGTTTCCAAATGGTCAGTCTGCCCCTGGCGGGATAGCATCTCCAAGCAGGAAGGGTAAGTTGTATCCGGAAAAGGAATACACTCATATTGCTCTTGCAGATTCTAAACAGCCTTAGGGAAGTCATGGTGAATAATCTTTTACAAATAAGTTCATTTTGTATAAAACAAATATACCAAACCCTATGTAGCACCCTCCTAGATAGGTGCTAGGTTAGGTAGATTTAGTTCTTGGCTCTCCTGTAATCAGTGGAGCTGTTTTTGATTACCCTGGTCTGCTCTTAGATTCACTGGCTGTGGATTTGGCTGCTTCCCCATTTTCTGGATGGTTCTAGGAAAATAGTGGGCTGGGGGAATCAAATCTATAGTGTGAATATTTATGTGGGCCTGGCCAATCCCTGGTCAGGGTGCCCAGATAGTGGCTGGGGGAGACATAAATATTCTGAAGCCTGGAGCTGCAGTGTTCTTGTCCTGTAGAAGGAGATCCCAGCTGGAAGGGCTTTTGCCTTTCTGGGCAGTCAAGCTATGCTTCTGCTGATCATCGAGGTCACAGTTATGCTAGCTGGGGGGCCTATTCTGCTGAACCTTGCTGGAACTGTCTGAGGGACTTCTTTTTTGGGGGATCTGGTCTAAAGTCTTTACGGGAGAGGTGTCTGAAAGATATTTGAAGGAGGCATCCGATTATCCAAGGACATTAGTGAGTATAGATCAATGTGAGAAATCCCAGCAACTGTGTGCTGATGTTATCCCTGTTGCATTAAAGTCAGCGTTACTTAAAGAGAACATTGCTCATGGTGTCCCAGTGTAGCCTAGGCCATCATTTGCTGCTGCAAGGACTGTGCTCAGGTTCTTAAAGCGGAGTTCCACTCACACTGTAAAAAAATAAACATCAGCAGCTACAAAAACTGTAGCTGCTGACTTTTAAAAAACAGCCACTTACCTGTCCCTCGATCCTGCAGTGTCCTCCCCAAAGCCTGTTTCACCAGCTGTCTGGTTTTTCCAGGCTCCGGCATCTTCAGTGTGGGCATCCGACTGTGACAGCTTGCGGCTTCACAGTCAGGTGCCAACACTGAAGATGTCGATCGCAGTGGAAGTGGAAGCGGGTACCTGTCAATTTCGGGTACCCGCTCTCCCCCTGCTGCTCCCCCCCAAATGCCAATCCTTAATGGGGAGTGGGGGACCAGTCTTTAAAGCGGAACTTCCCCTTTTGGGTGGAGCTCTGCTTTAAGTAGGAAAATAAGTTTTCTTAATGTTACTGCTGAACAGTACTGGAGTATCCCACAGTTACCCTGCACCCATCCAAGTTCAAGTTTGCAATAAAGCATCAAAAAAGCATAAACCTAGAACGATTACTGTGTGCCTGGCTGCAAACACATCAACTGGGAAAGAATCTCAGGACCTAAACAGCAGACCCATCTAAATTCCAGCTTAATCCATTTTCATAGATGTCTGATGTCTGACACATATTATGTAGAGCACATTTTTTCAATAAATCATCAGAATCAAATTAACACTATGCAAGACATTTCATTTTAGATTTTAATTTGCACGTTCACAGTTATTTGTTATCTAGTTAACACGTTTTAAACAGCTGTGTCTGAAATTCTAAGACTATTGCACCTGCATCGTCTTTATTTAAAATTAGTATGTATAAGGAAAAATGATACATAACTTTGTACTTGATGGGCATTAATATTATTCCCTCTCATTTTTACTGTATTTTGAATTATATTTTGAAAATATTAATAATGCAGAACTTAAAAATGATCAATAATCTCATGTTTCATCTCAATATTTCCAGTACTACTAACTTTGCATGTAGCATAGTTCCGCTAGTCCTGCACTTAGCTGAACCTTGCACTTTTTTCTAGCCTATTTGTTGCAATGAATAAGAACAGTTTACAATGCAAGGATTAGTATACCTGGTAACATGAAAAAAACTGCCCCACCCAGCCAATACTAGCTATGCAAACCAAGCATCCCCACTTATATCCCCTCTTCTTAGAGATCCTTATCATGTTCATCTAGCCATGTAGAGGTACTCTTACCATTGTATATGTATTAACTTACGAAAGCTCTGATTCATAGCATTATTCCCCTTGCCTATTGTACTACTCATCTAACCCTGTCAGTATCTTCAAGAATCGCTCAAAAAGATAAACTATTGTAAAAGCTTACTTGCAGCGTTTTTTCTTTTCATAAATTATTTTTTATTCACTTGCAGTGTGCCTCTCACCTTGCTAGCAAATTTGACTTTTCATTCCCTAGCACAGCCCACTCCCCCCTGCCGTGTTATACCCCTCAATTTGCTGAGTTTGCTGACATCACATCCAAGATGGCAGCACCCAGCAGCAGTCTCAGGCCTTTTGGATGTCTAGACAAAAAAAAAAGGTTTTAAAGTTAATAAAAAAAAAAAAAATGCAAATATAATATTATATGAAGGTTTCTGTTGAAATTAATGGTCTGGCACAAGTTTTAACCAGGGCTGGGCTTAAAAGCAGAACTATAGGCATTTTTTTATGCATTAAAATAGCAAACATGTCATACTTCCCTGCTGTGTGTAATGGTTTTGCACAGAGCAGCCCAGGTCCTCATCTTCTCAGGTCCCCCACCGGTGCTCCTGGCTACTCTCTCCCACCCCCCGAGTGCTCACCTTTGGAAGCAGCTTCCTATGGTGGGTACTCTTACCAGCTTGATCCCGAGCAGAGCTGTTTGTCTACTCAGCCCGGCTCAGCCCTGCCCCCCTCTTTGCTCACAGGATTTGACTGACAGCAGCAGGAACTATTGAATCCCACTGCTCTCAGTCAAGCCTGCACAGCGTTGGACTGAGATCAAGCTCCGGTGAGTATTTAGGGGATCTGTGGGGGAAAAAGGGGAACTGCATGTGAAAGTTTTTTTGCCTTTTTTTTTTTTTGCTGTTCCGTGAAAACCAGACACCCATGTATTTCTATTGAATAGAGCAGGGCTTGAAATTTCCACTCACCTGCTCTCCAATGGCGAGTGGAAATTATGGTGGGGGCGAGTGTGTTCCCCAGGGCCATCTTGCTGAGCAGGCCCAGAGCTCAGGCCGGATCTGTCATTGGCACTAGGAGCCGTCAGACTGCTCAATAGCTGAGCGCAGTGAAAGCACAGCAAGGAGTGTGTGCTGTGCTCTCTGCCTCCCCCTAGAGTGCAGTACCAGGATCTGTGAGTGAACAACAAAGTACTGCAACTTTTTATGGGGGGGGTGTGTGTGTGTACGTGTGTGTATGTGTTTGTGTGTCTGTGTATGCATGTACAATTGTACGTGTGTCTGTGTGTATGTACATGTGTCAGGGCTCCGGGTATGACCAGAGGTGTGTGGACTGACACAGGGAAACACAGGCTTCAGATATAGTATAAACAATATAATTTATTTAAGACTAAACAATACATAAATGCAGTGCAAGACTAAACATAAACACAGTGCAAACAAACCAAACCAAAACCCCCAACAGATAACAAAAGAACAATACTAAGCATAGTCGGGCAGGCCAGGTTGGTAGCAATCAGGCAGACAAGGTACCAAAGGAGCAGACTGGAGAGTGGTCAGGAATAGCAGAGGTCAGGACAGGCGGAGTTCAATCAGAGTCAGGGATCAAGCAGGATCAGACAGGATGCAGGTACAGGGGCTCTTGGGAAAACATTACACCAAGGCCCTGATTGCAAGTCTGGCTATTCCTTATATGCACCTCCTGCAATCAGCCGCAGGTGTTTTGGCTGACTGCAGGAGTGAGCCTCTGGTTGCTGAGAGCACCCGCTGGCCAGTCCTGGTACTGCAACCCACAAGGCAGGTGAGTCCCACCACTATTGGCGAGTCCATTCCTGACAACATGTGTGTATCTGTACAAGTGTCTGCGTGTATGTACATGTATGTGTGTGTGTACATGTGTCTGTGTACATGTGTGTGTGTGTTTGTGTGTATGTACGTACATGTGTCTGTGTGTGTACATGTGTCTGTGTGTATGTACATGTGTCTGTGAGTGTGTATTTCTGTGTATGTACATGTATCTGTGTGTATGCGTGTCTGTACGGGCCTGTGTGTGTATACATGTGTCTGTATGCGTGTGTGTGTACATGTGTCTCTGTGAGTGTGTGTACATGTTTCTGTGTGTGTATGTATGTACATGTCTGTGTGTATGTACAGGTGTCTCTGTTTGTGTGTGTTTGTTGGTGGCGAGTAACTCTAAGGCCTGGCTAGTAGCCCTGGACTAGAGGATGTAAACAAATGATCATATGTTTACATCCGTTAATGTCTGCATCCGTGAACATCCGTTTTTTTTTTTAACTGAAAAAATCCCTATTTCTCTTCCATAAAAAAAACAGAACAGACGAAAAACGGATGTTAGCGGATGACATCCGCTTACATTCGATCGACTAACATACGTTTTTTCTACAAATCAGTATATTTTTTTTATTTTCAATAAAACAACAACCTATGACCAAGGTAGTGGTCAGACAAGGAAGTGACATGCCATTAGATCACCTTTTATGGAGACATGGCCAAAGATGTGTCCCATGAGAGACTCATTAACTTGGTACATCCCAGACCAGGATTATGGGACAATTGCTGTCACACAATGCATGCTGGGTTAGAGCAAAGAGTCTTGGGAAATTTCCATGACTCATGAAAAAAGGGATGTAAATGGAGGAAACTTAAATACCCCACACAGGGAGGGTATGCAAACTCCATGGTGGTAGTGCCATGGTTGGTATTTGAACCAACAACCCTGATGCTGCCAGGTGAAAGTGCTAACCACTTAGCCACTGTTCTTGTCATCCATCATATGACACCCATATAGGACACCCTATTACAATAAATAAAAATGTCTAGAAATTTGTCTATGTTGAATTTGCATCTAATTGCATACAATACATGGCTTCAGCTCCCAGTAGTAGAAGGCAGATGACTCCATTGAATGGGTGTGAAGTTGAAACCTGAAGGTTTGCACATGACTAGCACCTCATTTATTCACTCCCAGTATGGGGCCCTCTTCAATCTTTTGGGAAAAGACAGAAGTGTGGTGTGCCTTTGTCATTGTCAATACAACAAATTGAATACTAAACAGATTAAACAACAAGGATATTGAAATGGAGTTTCTAGTGAAACCAATGTCTACATGCCATCACTAAATCACTATCAGTTAGCTACTACATCCAAGATAAGGATTGTACTCAAACACAACTCTGTACTAGGGATCAGGCCAGACATGTTCTGATACTAGTCTGAACCCACCTGAGCTATTCTGTCAGAAAGTTGTCATTACAGACCACCAATCATAAGCCTCCGAGGAGTTCTCTGCCCCGCAGATGCACGTACACAAAGGGTTTGGATCCGCGCAGCTGCAAGACAGGGTATGCCTCGGCTGCTCATGATTGGCAAGGCATATGAGTGACAGCTCCCTGGCGGGAGAGCTCAGGTTGGTTTGGACCACTATCAGAACAAACCTGAGCACATCCCTTCTCTGTACATTAAGACTGATAACACAAGGGCAATTTTGCAGCTAGTGACAAATCACCAATGGCAGGATCAGGGGCGGACTGACCATTTGGAAACTTGGGCACTGCCCAAGGGCCCGGGGTCAGTAGGGGGCCCCATGAGATGCCCCTGGTACCTTTTTCATAGGCTTTTTTGATTTTGGGCAAGAACACAGGGGCCCCATGATCCCCTATTGCCCGGGGGCCCCATGTGTTGTCAGTCCACCCCTGGGAAGGATCGCTAAAAAGGCTGCCTGTCTGTGTGTTCCTATGGTATAATTCCTTCTCTAGTCACACGCAGTGAAAAGTTACTCTGCTGCTGATGCTGAATATTGATTGCTAGCGATGGGAGCTACATCTCACTACCTTGGTGATTCCTTAGGAACAAAACAGGAAAACTCTTATCTATCCAGTCCCTAAACTGTCAGCATCAGCATCGCTAGCGGCATGCGGCATGTTGCCTGTGCATCATCAGCCTAAGGCTAAGTTCAGCTGCCCTTGCCATCTCTCTGAAAAATATCACTTTTCTCGGGAGTTTGACAGACAGAAGGTGATATGTTGCCTCCTCACTGCCTGTTTTAACCCTGTAAATGCCATATCAATGCACCATAACTTGAAAGGGTTACGCTCTGTGGCAGCAGGGCCGAGACAAGGGGAGGGCAGGAGGGGCGGCTGCCCTGGGTGCAGAAATTTACTGTAGGGATGGGGGTGCCATGTAGTGAGCTCATTTTGATACAAAACTGACAGGATTAGTGATAGCGGCCAGGGGTGGACTGACCATTTGGAAACTCGGGCACTGCCCAAGGGCCCGGGGTCAGTAGGGGGCCCCATGAGATGCCCCTGGTACCTTTTTCATAGGCTTTTTTTGAGTTTGGGCAAGGACACAGGGGACCCATGATCCCCTATTGCCCGGGGGCCCCATGAGTTGTCAGTCCGCCCCTGCTCCTGTTGATGCTTTGCTTGGTGCTGCGGGCACTAAGCAAAGCATCATTGCTGTGGCTAGTGTTCAATCTCATCCTGCTGCCTTTGCAGATTAATGAGGTGAGTTGAAAGTGACTTTGCTGCCGAAATTAAACACTGATGTATCACAATTGCTGAACAACACATCACTTTTAAAATGTAACCGTTAGTGATCCCATAGGGAATCAATTCGATTTTCTTAGTGACAAATAGTCCCTATGTAAATGTAGCAAATCTTGGGGTGGCAAACACAGCAAGAAAATAACCCATATGTCATCAGCATTTGGCCTCTTTCACATGGGGCAGACTCCGTTTAGATAAGCAGGGAATCTGTCCGCTGATCCCCTGATGATCAGAGCATAGCAGGCTGATGACACATCCTTGTCCACTCAGTTTATGCAGAGCAGACATGGACAGAGCTTGCTCTACTTTATGGGGGGCTGGGACTAAACAGACTCCGCTATCCAGTTACACCTGACTGCCATCCTATCTGGTTCGCCTAAACCGAGAAGGAGGACAGATCCCCTTCTGTTCTTTTTTTAGCAGACCAGATGTAGACCCAGATGTACAGTAGGTGGTTGTAAACAGACCAGGGGTGGACTGACAACTCATGGGGCCCCCAGCAATAGGGGATCATGGGGCCCCTGTGTCCTTGCCCAAACTCAAAAAAGCCTATGAAAATGGTACCATGGGCATCTCATGGGGCCCCCTACTGACCCCCAGGCCCTCGGGCAGTGCCAGAGTTTCCAAATGGTCAGTCTGCCCCTGCAAGGGACACAAGTCTGTTGACACCCACTGGTCAATAGGGGTGAATGGACCATCCGATTAGGTCTGCCTGATCAGACCCTTTCTGTGAAAGGGATACTTTTCAGGATCTGTTTTAAGTCAGCCAGTCCCAATTCCAGCAGATAGTGTTGAAAGTCTATATAGTAGTATGCTCATTATAGCCATTATTTTGCAGTAAGCATTTTTTCCTAGTGCACATTTATATTATATTCACAGAGAACTACAAATATTTTTTGAACTGCAACCTCTGCAAAAAACTAAGAATTGAGCACATCCCCTAATTACAAAAATATTTTTTACAGCTTTGCCATGCTTTGTAAAAGATCAGGCTCTGTCTAAAGCAAGCAGTGCTGAACATGGGACAGGAATGTATATGATGGCTATCTAGGGACAAATGTTTGCAAATTTGACTTGAGAAGTGTCTTGGTAGATGACACCTTTTCTTGGCTGTCATTTGCTCCAGTGGAATGTGTTATGGCTCTTACATCTTGACATAGCTGGAATGTTTTGGGGTGGGTGGTATTATATGTTTGTGTATGTACACTACTCCTGTGAGCCTTGATGACAGTAAATACTGAGATGGTATTAGAGTGTAGGCAGTGTGACCTTTTAATATAAAGGCACTAAACATGTGAATAGAAATCAGACATAGGCAGGCAGCAGTGCCTCATTGCTGAAATTAAACGTGACTCTTAAAGTGACCCTCTATTGCTTTCTCCAAATTCCTTTTTTATCCATGTATTTATTTATTTTTGCTGCTGAGATTCAACTTCCCCCTAGAGGGTGGCTACACTTGTTCTTCATGGTCCCAATGTATGTAGGAACATAGCACCCTCTCTTGTTCACGCCAGAGATGGACTAGAACAGTGCAAGTAAGGGGAAAATAAAAGCTTTGAGAGCTCACGGCAGACATTACAAGGAGGCAGAAACACACAGTAAGAAACAATTTAATGAAAAAAAGATTTCAAGTGGTATTAAACTCTTTTTTCATTTTTAAATGGGCCCACGGGTGGTTTATGCCATAATGTGCTAGTATGCACAGTGAATTATGGCAGACTTACAGTTGTGCTCAAAAGTTTGCATACCCTGGCAGAAATTGTGAAATGTTGCCATTGATATTGAAAATATGACTGATCATGCCAAAAAAGCTCTTTTATTGAAGGATGATGATGATATTGAAGCCATTTATTATCAAATAGTGGTTTGGCTTCTTTTTAAATCATAATGATAACAGAAATCACCCAAATGGCTGTGATCAAAAGTTTACATACCCTGGAATGTTTGGCCTTGGTACAGACACACAAGGTGACACACATGGGTTAAAATGCCAATTAGAGGTTAATGTCCCACATCTTTTGCTTTTTACATTGCAATTAGTGTCAGTGTATAAATAGTATAAATGAGTTTGTTAGCTCCTATGTGGAAGCACTGACTAAGCTAGATACTGAGCCATGGGGATCAGAACAAACAGTCAAAAGTCCTGCGTAACAAGGTAATGGAGCTTTATAAAGATGGAAAAGGACATAAAAAGATGTCCAAAGCCTTGAATATGCCAATCAGTACTGTTAAATCACAGATTAAGAAGTGGAAAGTTTGGGGATCTCTTGATACCAAGCCAAGGTTAGGTAGACCAAGAAAGATTGCAGCCATAACTGACAGAAGAATGTATTTCTAATAAAGGGTATCACTTTACTAGGCAAAAAGGCAAAACCTTTTTTTTCAGTTTTGGATGGGGGGAGAAGAGAAATTAGAACCCCTGTAAGATTTTTTTTGTTGTCTGCGTCATAATTAGGGAGATTCACCCTCTCTAAATGTCACATTTACTGTTATCATTGAGAATCAAAGTGAAAAAAAATCCCCAACTTTGGGTTGTCCTCAGAACAAGAACAGAACAAACGGTGATAAAAAAACCTCACAGGGGTTATAACCCTCCCTTACTATCCAAAATAAATTAAAAAACGTTTTGCCTTCAGTTTTACTTAAAACTACAAACGTTCTGGCTCCACTTTCACCTGAGTACAGTCTATGACTATTATCAGAAGACAAGCAGATGACCGATCTCTCTTCTTCTGCTCTCTCCCATTCCCTGTATCAGTGTGTTATCTCACATGAATACCCTGCCTGGCTATTCCCCAGAGCCACCAGCAGGAGTCGCTGCTGTGCTCAGCGTTGAAGCCTCCCCCTTCCCCTCCCCGATATCAGGCGGAGTAGTGGAGTCTGTGAGCCGGCCGGGCAGGAGAGATCGTCCAGACAGGAGGACCGTGCTGTGTCTATGTGCTCCTCTCGTATCCAGCTCGGGAAGCTCGGCGTGTATTCATCGTCTCTCTGTATGGAGAGTCGGGGGTTCCCTGTCTGGAGAGGATATCCTGCTTCTAGTGACAGCCAGCGGAGAACTTTCCCGGAGAGTGGTCACTTATCGGAGACATGGCTGAGATCGGAGCTCGGGGCTGCACACAACCTGGAGCTGTACTACTTACCGCACTGCTCTCTGCACTCACCATGCCGACACCGCTGCGGGCTGAGACTCTGGGTAAGTTGGCACCCAATAATGACTTGGGGGGGGATAGTGGATGGGTGGAAGGAACGTATCTGAGCAATAGTGGGTCCGACTCCGTTTATCAATGTTTTAACCAGGATTCACCAAATGGTCATCAAAAATTCAACAGTCACCTACCTTTAATGCAGGCATTCACCCAACTTTTATGCAACCTTCACCCCAGATTCACCTATCCTTTACCCAACTTTTATGTACCTTCAACCAAGATTTCTAAGATTGTTACATATTTATTTCTCAGGGGACACTATGCCTAATATTCCTTTAACTTCACCCAAGATTTACCCAACTTTCACGCACCCCTTTCACCCAGTATTTTTCCAACTTTCACGCACCCTTCACCCAGGATTTTCCCAACTTTCACATGCAACCTCCCCCCCCCTCCAAGATAACTTTCCACGCAAAACTTTCACGCAACCTTCCCCCCCCCCCCCAAGACTTTTTCCCAACTTTCACGCAACCTTCCCCCCCCCCAAGATTTTCCCAACTTTCACCCAACCTTCCCCCCCCCCAAGATTTTCCCAACTTTCACGCAACAAGATTTTTCCCCCCCCCCCCAAGATTTTCCCAACTTTCACGCAACCTTTCACGCAACCTCCCCCCCCCCCCCCCCAAGATTTTTTTCCCAACTTTCACGCAACCCCCCCCCCCAAGATTTTCCCAACTTTCACCAACCTTCCCCCCCCCCCCCAAGATTTTCCCAACTTTCACGCAACCTTCCCCCCCCCCAAGATTTTCCCAACTTTCACGCAACCTTCCCCCCCCCCCCCCACGATTTTCCCAACTTTCACGCAACCTCCCCCCCCCCCACGATTTTTCCCAACTTTCACAGCAACCTTCCCCCCCCCAAGATTTTCCCAACTTTCACGCAACCTTCCCCCCCCCCCCCCAAGATTTTCCCAACTTTTTCACGCAACCTTCCCCCCCCCCCCCCTTTCAGCAACCCCCCCCCCACGATTTTCCCAACTTTCACGCAATTTTTCCAACCCCCCCCCCCCCCACGATTTTCCCAACTTTCACGCAACCTTCCCCCCCCCCCACGATTTTCCCAACTTTCACGCAACCTCCCCCCCCCCCACCCCCACCGATTTTCCCAACTTTCACGCAACCTTCCCCCCCCCCCACGATTTTCCCAACTTTCACGCAACCTTCCCCCCCCCCCACGATTTTCCCAACTTTCACGCAACCTCCCCCCCCCCCCCCCACGATTTTTCTTTCCAACTTTCACGCAATTTTCCCAACCTTCCCCCCCCCACGATTTTCCCAACTTTCACGCAACCTCCCCCCCCCCACGATTTTCCCAACTTTCACGCAACCTTCCCCCACGATTTTCCCAACTTTCACGCAACCTTCCCCACGATTTTCCCAACTTTCACGCAACCTTCCCCCACGATTTTCCCAACTTCACGCAACCTTCCCCCACGATTTTCCCAACTTTCACGCAACCTCCTCCCCCCCCACGATTTTCCCAACTTTCACGCAACCTTCCCCCCACGATTTTCCCAACTTTCACGCAACCTCCCCCCACGATTTTCCCAACTTTCACGCAACCTTTTCCCAACGATTTTCCCAACTTTCACGCAACCTTCCCCCACGATTTTCCCAACTTTCACGCAACCTCCCCCCCCCCCACGATTTTCCCAACTTTCACGCAACCTTCCCCCCTATTTTCCCCCCACCAACCTTCCCCCACGATTTTCCCAACTTTTCACGCAACCTTCCCCCACGATTTTCCCAACTTTCACGCCCACGATTTTCCCAACTTTCACGCAACCTTCCCCCACGATTTTCCCAACTTTCACGCAACCTTCCCCCCCACGATTTTCCCAACTTTCACGCAACCTCCCCCCCCCCCCCACGATTTTCCCAACTTTCACGCAACCTCCCCCCCCCCACGATTTTCCCAACTTTCACGCAACCTCCCCCCCCCACGATTTTCCCAACTTTCACGCAACCTCCCCCCCCCACGATTTTCCCAACTTTCACGCAACCTTCCCCCACGATTTTCCCAACTTTCACGCAAACCCCCCCCCCCCCCAACTTTCACGCAACCTTCCCCCACGATTTTCCCAACTTTCACGCAAAACCTTCCCCCACGATTTTTTTCCCAACTTTCACGCAACCTTCCCCCACGATTTTCCCCCAACTTTCACGCAACCTTCCCCCACGATTTTCCCAACTTTCACGCAACCTTCCCCCACGATTTTCCCAACTTTCACGCAACCTTCCCCCACGATTTTCCCAACTTTCACGCAACCTTCCCACACAATTTTCCCAACTTTCACGCAACCCCCCACGATTTTCCCAACTTTCACGCAACCTTCCCCCACGATTTTCCCAACTTTCACGCAACCTTCCCCCCGATTTTCCCCCCACGCAACCTTCCCCCACGATTTTCCCAACTTTCACGCAACCTTCCCCCACGATTGACACAACTTTCAGGCAACCTTCCCCCACGATTGACATAACTA